AAAAAAAAAAAAAAAAAGATAAAGGGGGGTTAGTGGTTGTAGGGAGCTATGCACATTGTGTTAAAGATGGCCAAAATGTGATACTGGATCCCCTGTATCACTCTTGTGCTTTGGTGCAGTGTTTCCCAAAGTGAGACGCAAACAGTAGTTGCGATGTAAAATAGCTCAGAAATAACAAATCACACAGAGCGAATCACACCTGAGGAAGTTACTCCTCTTCCATTTTTTCCCCCAGCCTGGAGACTGTATCCAAGTAAGCTCCTGGCACGGTTAGGTCCTGAGTACCACTGTCATTTGGTATTTTCCATGTTTCACCTGAATATCAGACCTCAGGCTCAGACCTTTCTTTGGGGTAGAATTTAATAATATGCACTCTCTTCATTTTGTGCATTCTTACGGTCATTTCTGTCTCGGACAAATAGTAGCAGCTTTCCATTTGTGGTAGTGATGTGTAGTTGTAGTTTCCTTGTAAAAATCCATTTGTTTTTTAGTAGCTTTTAGTAGTGAGATAATTTAAAGAACATGCTAGGTATATAATATAGATGATATTCGTAATGGCCAAAAATGTGACTCCAGTACACAAACGCCTGAAATTCAGCAAGCACATGCCGTAGGTGTGGAAAAGAGGAAATCAGTGTTCCTGCCCACATCAAAGGCAAAAGAAAACTATCTTTTGGAAAAAAAAAATGTTTATTTATTTATTTTCAGAGAGTGTGTGAGCAGGGGAGGGGCAGGGAGCGAGGGAGAGAGAATCCCAAAGCAGGCTCCACACTGTCACTGCCGAGCCTGAAATCACAAACTGTGAGACCATGACCTGAGCTGAGATCAAGAGTCAGACACTCAACCAGCTGAGCCACCCAGCCGTTCCAAAAGAAAACTGTCTTTTGACTAAAGTAGCATAATGTTTACCCATTTGAGGTTAGAAGGGAAAAAAAAACAAACCCTCATCAAGACACTCTGCAGGATACTGCTTGAATTCGGAATATCCAGTGATTACTCAGGAGTCATATGCAGGTCTGAAAAAGATTATTTGTGATTTTAGCATTTGTAGAAGGGAATAAAACTGGTAACAAGATAGTCTGTGCGTAAGATTAATTCAGAAAGCTGAGTTTAAAACCCAGTGGGGCTCCAACAATCATTCATGGGTGAACATTCAGCTTGCACTGAGACCCAGGCACGTTACCAAGAGAATCCTGGGATATGTTGTGTTTACAGAGTATCCTGAATTTAATCATCTGAACTCCCAAGTAGGTAACATTTAGGAGTGAGAATAAGATTTCTCATTAAGGGATACTTTTTTTTCTACATTTATTTACTTTGAGAATGCACACAAGCAGAAGAGGGGCAGAGAGAGAGAATCCCAAGAAGGCTGTGCACTGTCAGCACGGAGGCCAACATGGGTCTTGATCTCACGAACCATAAGATCATGACCTGAGCAGAAATCAAGATCCAGACGCTTAACCAACTGAGCCACCCAGGCACCCCTAAGGGATACTTTCAGACAGAGGGAGATAATGACAATAGCTCTGTAACTATTTAAAGAAGTGTAATACAGAAAAGGAATTTTTGATACGAATACAGAAAGATCAATGAGTAAAACATGAATGGGAGCAGATTTCTGTCCAATATAGAGAATGCTTTTCCAGCAAATAGAGACACTAAAAATTGAGTGAGCTCTTGTGAGGTAGTAAGCTCTCCTTCTCTAAAAGAGTTCACACCAAGAGATGTGTCAGAGTTGTATGCAGGAGTCTTATGCAGGCTTGGAGACAGGACTTGGCAGTTTCAAAGGTCTCTTCCGAAGGTCTGAGATCATAGTATACAGTACCTTAGGTTAAGGGGACGGGGGAGTAGGTGTCTTTCTAAACATTTACTTTAGGATTAGGGTTGCCGCAAAGACCCCCTTTGGTTAGTTGCCTTCTTGATCTCTTCAGGCGGAGGTGGAAGAAACCCTAAAGAGGATCCAGAGCCATAAAGGGGTGATGGGAACTATGGTCGTGAATGCAGAAGGTAAATATGTCACAGGATGCCTTCTAGATACACACAAGCCAACCAAGGACCTGTTGGCTGTGCCTCGCCTAAGACAGACACCTTAGAATTTGAAATGTAAAGTTTATCTTCTGTGTCGTAGCTATAACATGTACTCACCAAATATCTATTGAGTACCTCCTATATACCAAGCGCTCTGCTAAGAGTTAAAGATATAAATATGAATAAAACATGTCTAAAAATATCTCTGTATTCCTAAGAAACACTATACATGTCTAATTTTTAAAGCTTTGGTAACTCCTCTAATATTTCAGGGATACCATTGAAAGTATCATATTGAAGATAGGGAGAATATCATTGTTGGCAGTTAGTTTTTATTTTAACATTATAAAGGGTGCAGAGTTTCAGTCTTCCTTTTTTTTTATTTTTTTTATTTTTTTTTAATTTTTTTTTCAACGTTTTTATTTATTTATGGGACAGACAGAGACAGAGCATGAACGGGGGAGGGGCAGAGAGAGAGGGAGACACAGAATCGGAAACAGGCTCCAGGCTCCGAGCCATCAGCCCAGAGCCTGACGCGGGGCTCGAACTCACGGACCGTGACATCGTGACCTGGCTGAAGTCGGACGCTTAACCGACTGCGCCACCCAGGCGCCCCTTCAGTCTTCCTTTTAAGTGAAATTGTTCCTTTACCACACTTAATAAAATATTTGAGAATAAATTTTAATACGACTTACAGTATAGCCTTTGTGGCTATAGTATAAAAGGGCCAACGCATTTCCACCTAGGAGATCCGTAAACTTATACCAGAAACTTGCTCTCTCTCGTCCCACAATCCCTGCTAACAATCCACAAAGCCTTTTCTCTGGCACACTGCTATGTGCTCAGCTATGGTGGCAAACTCTGCTAGTTTCATTGCTAATTCAGGCGTTTGCAAAGGCAAGAAATACCACAAATCCCAGAGCATTAGTGGAAATAAGAGTAGCTACTTCACATAACTCACGGCGCAACCACAGAATTGGTGAATTGCCATGGCACACAGAGTGCTTTGCAACAGAATCTCACAGCTAATCATTATTTTTGGCACAAATCCATCAGCAAATATTTATTGAGCAACTACATACTACCGCCTGTTTACATTCAGACTTCAATCCCTTAGCAGTTAAAGACAGAACACAACCTACTTCACTGAGGGTTTATGATAGTTGGATGAAATGTTAATTGTTGGGTGCCTAGCACGGTACCCAACACTTAACAATTATAATTACATAGTTCTCAGCATGTGGACATTTTTAATTGATTTGTACAGCGACAACATTTGATGTGTAAATAGACCATTGGATGTGTTTTGCAAATAGTAAAATTAAATGAAAAATAACACCAAATGAATAAATTCACCCAGCTTGAGTGATCAGGAGGGAAAGGATTTAAGATCAGCCTTATAGGTAAGAAAGAGTTCTGCCCAGTATTTCCAGGAAGCGGTGCAGCGCGAGCACATTGTTCTGTCTGGAATGAGTCTCGCTCCTGGCGTGCTCATCAAGTCCACACACCCCCTACGACGGGCTACGTGTGGGGCTTCAGAAAGGTAATGCATTCATTTCCTTCGGCTGCTGCAAGAACGTACCACACACTCGGTGGCTTAAAACATTAGAAAGTTATTCTCAGGTCTGCAGGCTGGGAGTTGGAATAAGGGTGTCAGTAAGGACAGCCTGTTCTTTGAAGGCTCTACAGGATCCTTCCTTGCTGCTCTCTTAGCTTCTGGCGGCTTCCGGAAGTCCTTGCATTCCTTGGCTTGTAGAGGCATCAGTCCAGTTTCTGCTTCCATCGTCCCATGGCGTTCTCCTCTCTGCGTCTGTTTTCTCTCCTTGTGAGGACCGCAGTCGTCGGATTCAGGCCCACCCTAATCTAGTGTGACCTTATCTTAACTAATTACATCTGCCAAGACATGCTATTTCACATGCTGAGGTTTAGGATAGACTTGAATTTGGGGGGAAAAGATACTTTTCAACCCAGGACAACTCGTCTTACGAGTCACTTTGGAAGATCTTAGTCAAAAGTGTATAATCCTAGCCATATGCATCATATGTCTGAAAATGTCCATAGTCTGTGACGTGCAATTTCACTCCTAGGAATTTATCCTAAGGAGTGACGACGAAAAAGATTTAGGTGCAAAGGATACTCACTGAGGCATCATGTACAAAAGCAGTGAAGAAACAGACAAATAAGTAAATAAATCTATCCCAGCGGTACGGAAAATTTTTCATTCATTATGTAATGTTTACTTGGTGAACCACTACTCTATTGAAAATGTTGAAGAATATTTAGAGTCATGGGAAACAATATTAGATGAAAAGCACGGAACAAAGCAGTAGCCAACATTTTCTAATCATAAACATAGCCAGCCACACAAACACACTTACAGTAAATATGGAAGAAAGGACAGGGCTATGTTACAGCGATCATCTCTGAGCGCTGGAATTACAATTGACTTTGCTTTTACTTGTTTGAAGTCTCTCAATATTTTTCTTATCCAAAGGCGGCAAAATACGATTTTTAAAACCCGTTACCTTCTTCTAATTAACCCTTACTAAGATAAGATTATGTTAGGATTCGGGGCACCCTTCCAAACACCAAATTAACCATTTTCCCAAAAATATAAATGAGGGTCTTATTTTTGTGGTCAGATTATTAATAACCAGAGGGTACGACAAGCATGTTTATTAATAGCATATGGTATAAGTTGTGTGAACAGAATTAATAAAATATTCCATTTCAGCAGCCTACTCAATTTTAGATGAAAGTGCCATTTATTATGGTGCAGCCCGGCAGCTTTCAGAAGACCCAGGAACGTAAATGCTGAAACAAATTTAACTAAGATGGCGTTCACGTGTTCTTGTACACCACTAGTGGGTTTAGTGTAATTCTCAGCAAATCATTTTAACATATCTCCAGGTTTTATTTGTGGCGAGGTGGGCCTTCTACCATGTTTCTACATTTAGATCTCATATGGCATGTTAAACAGAGCCCTTCGGTTTCACCGTTAGTGAAACCAAGGCGCCCTGTCCATGACAATAAAGCAGACTTCCCAATTTAGCCCACTGCTGAGCAGTAGAGGTTTTTATTAGACTAGACTCTTTGCTAACATCGATTTCCCATTTATACAACCATTCACAGTTTACAATATTGCAGCACTGATTGTTGAATTAGATACTGGTGAATACATATTATTTCTCAGACGGTCATAACTGTCCCATATTCTTATGTATATAAGCCTGATTTCCAGAGGCTCTTAATTTTACATATTCTTGACATTTCTAACCATCAATCATTTGAATTTCATTAGACTTTATCAGCCATCCAGTCAGTTCCTTACATTTTTGAAATACAATCAACCAAAGTACAAATACACAGTTGAAGAATACCAGCTTACTGGGATCATAAAGAGTCATATTTTAAAGTAGTGCCATAAATTCGGCAATATCCAATTCATATTCTTTGTTCTAGAAGTTCCATCGTGGGGATTTATACCATACATACACACAAATGTGAAATGGCATGCACACGGACATATTCCGTTGCCTTGCTTATTAAAGTCAAAGCCTGGGAACAGCCTAAATGCGCGCCAGGAGGATATACTTGTTACGTGTATCACAAGGCAGCCATTCGACAGTCATGTGATGCAGTCATTAACACGCCTAGCCTTAGCCCTATGTGTACCGAATAGAAGGAGTTTCCAAGTGTATTTCATGAAAAATAATTTTTTTTTACAGAATAGAGAACAAACAATACAAAGAATACAAACAAAAAGATACTTGAACACACTTAGAATATCTCTGCAAGGTTCCCAAAGAAACTGGGAGCAGTGGTCACCTCGCAGAAGGGGCCATGAGTGAATTTTATACCACGTGCTAAAATTGCTCCTTAATAAATTATTTTTTAATTACCTTGCAGGGTACCAAGCAAGAGCTCAATAAATATTTGTCGATTGATTTTTTTCAAGTGGTCTGTAATGGATATGAAAACCTCGCAGAGCTTCCACAGTGTGCACTTATTATTCAGAAAGGCTAGCTGTTTTATTTATTGACTTGGATCATGAATAGACTAACTAAATAGGCCCGAGCATTGGATTCATAATCTTGTCATCTACATTTTAAATAATTTATTCTGGCTGTATTTCTGGTTTTGACACCGAGCGGTGCAGACTTTGGAGGTAGTCACTATTCAGGATGCAAAATAAAACCAGTCCTCAGAAAGTGCCCTCAAAAGGTGAGAGCTTGCTACCTCTCAGCTCCCTGCCCGTTAAAGACACATGCCTTGTGATGGCTCATCAGGTGTGAAAGACATAACTGACTTCGGGGGAAAGTGGCCAAGAAATAATAATACAGAAATTAACAAACTTGATATAAAACCTTGTTTATTGAACAGATTTTCCTGTAAATATTGTCCTTGTATCGTTTGGCAAGACCTATTCCAGAGCGAACGGTTGTTTTAAAAGAGACTGTTTCACGGTCAGAATGGAGGTCCTCAAAGAGTTTCGTGAAAAGCTGGTAAAATCGTTAGTTTGTAAGAGCGTTCCACTCCTGAAATCCCCTCTTGTTTAACAGCTTCTGGAATTGCATTCTCTGAGGGACGACCCAGAGTTGTGTTAGCCTCTTCCACCGATCGGCCTTCATTCAGGTGCCTGTGGGATCTGACAGCCACCCCACATTCACCTTCACGTGTCCCCCTAAATTAAAGGCACGTGTGCAAATGGAATCCTTGCAATTCCCTGGCTGTCTGCTGGTTCTCACAATAATCTGAAAGCCCTCTCAGACGAGACACGATACACGTAAAATACCCAGCACGACACCTGTTAACAAGTAAGCGCTGAGCACCGAGTGACCAGAATTGAGCTGGATTGATTTGAACTGAATTGAATTATACTTGCATATTTGTCTGGCTAGATTTTCCCAGTTAAATTAATAGGTTCAGTTTTAAAATCGCATAATGGAACAATAGAGCACACGAGCAGCTAAATTTAAGAATGCTTAAGCCAAGAGTGAGCACAAACCAGGGAATGCCCAGCAAAACCACAGTGTCTTTGCTGCTGGATTCTCTAATATAAAATGTAAGGTTTGCAAAATACCGTATGAGGAGCCACAGCGTAATTTTTTAAATCCCCTTTGGATACACTCCTCAACGTGTGCTATGATATCCCCTTCTGTTGCTGGCCTCAGGGGAGGACATTAGCACCATGTCACGGACCAAGCATTTCAAAGCAAAATGGCTATAGACCGACTGCTTGGAGGAGGGCATTAGGTAGACTACTATGTGAACTCAGTTCTGAAATAATCGGTGCACAGCTTCCAAATAATGTGTGCACGAAACCCAAAAAACAATACCTACCAGTCTAACAATAGGGGATTGGTCAAATGATGGTATGTTATAAAATAGTGCACAGCCGTTAAAAATAATTTGAGGACCGGGGCGCCTGGGTGGCGCAGTCGGTTAAGCGTCCGACTTCAGCCAGGTCACGATCTCGCGGTCTGTGAGTTCGAGCCCCGCGTCAGGCTCTGGGCTGATGGCTCGGAGCCTGGAGCCTGTTTCCGATTCTGTGTCTCCCTCTCTCTCTGCCCCTCCCCCGTTCATGCTCTGTCTCTCTCTGTCCCAAAAAAATAAATAAACGTTGAAAAAAAGAACCACTGTTCTTTAACTGAGCAGTGGAATTACATAAAAAAAAAAAAAAAAATTTGAGGACCGTGTCACTGACAAGAACGGCTCGGGTATGCTATCACTTAAATGGAGAAAAAAGCAGTAGTCCAATTTGTCATGATGGTTTGTCACAACTACATTTTAAGACCCACATACACACAAAAAGACCGGAAGGAAAGAAACTAAAATTGTTACCAGTGAGTGGTGTCGGCCATAACTTTTTCTTCCTCTTTAAAATCATCAGTATTTTCCGGTATATCCACAGGGTGCACATTCCTTTGACAGTTAAAACTCTTAACCCAAAAGTGACTCTTGTAACAGGCATTCCTATCCGAACAACCTTGGACAACTCGACGACGGTTCAGTACGCAGGTCTTCTTCATCAGCTGACAATGAAAGCCAAGAGCACGGTCCGTGACATTGATCCTCAGAACGACCTCACCTTTCTCAGGATCAGGTCAAAGAAACATGAAATCATGGTAGCCCCAGGTAATGTGGCGTTTCACTTCATATTTAAAGCATCTTTCTCCTTTACTGGATAAAAGCTCTGTTTCAAGGAACTGGACATACAGATTTTAACCTGCAATATGGCGCGTAGTGTTCTCCAATTACAAAATGAAAGACGTTGGAATCTGAAAAACTCAAGCTGGCAATTTTGTGAAATTAGCGACAGATTTAACCTTTGAAGAATCTGAATTTTTCCCATTTGCATTTATTACCAGTAATCAAAATAGGGATAATGTAGGGAGTGGATCAAAGCCCTGTAGGGTCTTAAACCCTCCCCGCGAGAGAACACATTCACCGGGCCTGCCTCAAGACGGCAGCCAGAGAAACACTCCTCTCCTTGAAGGAATTACATTCACAGTGTTCACCAATGTCTGTGTAACACAGGACTCATGCTCCCAAATCTAGTCTGGAACAAACTTCTCTAGAGAACATCTGTGACATCAGAATTACCCATATACTGTGTTCTCACCCTGCTGCACATCAAAAGCACTTGGAAAGCTTTACAAAAACAGTTATTGATACCAGAGGCCTTACCCCAGGCCAGTGAACTCAGAACCTCTGGAACTGGGTCCCGGGTCGTGGTAGCTTTTGAAAGCTCAGCAGGTGATTCTGATGTGCAACCAGGGTGGGAAACCATTGGTCTACAGAGAGTCCAAGTGATGTTTTGAAGAGAAACGCAGATTAGCCGAAGTATTCACTTAGTAAGTTGAACTCTTCCAGTGGATTAACTTCGTCCGTCTCTCTCCACAGATAAGGAATATCTTCTGATCGTCATTCAGAATCCATGTGAATAGACCTGCTACGGCCCATCCTGTCCTGTGATGCCCAGTTGCAAATGCTTTATTTACTCCTTAGTTATTACCAAGATTATATTCCAATCTGATCTTTCAGACATTATTTACTATTTTCACAAACTATTCTGCACGTCTCATTTAGTCCCTTTCAAATGTATTGTAAAGTTGTGATTTAGTGATGTAATAATAAATGAATTCTGGTATAGAGGTCTCTTTTTTTTTATAGTACACCAGACTGAAGGATTCTAGTGGGAATCCTAGCAAGCCTTCCTTGCAACAGTCCCTGTAGTCTAGAGGTGTGCCAAGAATCAACGTGGCTGTGTCCTTTTGCCCATTTCATTAGCACGTCCCGGAGGTTCCATGAAGCACAGCGGGAGCGACCTGGGAGTAAGAAGTCCTCATCCTCTAGGGGCGCTAGATGCTTTCCCAGGTTAAACAAGGGACGTAAAAAGTCAGAGGCTTGGCGCTCAGCAGGGTCAGCTCCACAGCTGAGCGCCTCCTCCCACAACTCCAGAGGGTGTTTTTTTACTAGATATTTCAAACATTCAGAAAATAATGGAACGAATAATAGAACAAATAGAACAGATTTCCAAGACCCGTTAGAACAGATGTTAATATTTTGCTGTATTTGCCTCATATTCTCTCTTTGGTTAATTAAGCCTTTTATTTTGATACATCTGAGGATTCACATGAACCTGTAAGAAATAACATAGAGATCTTGTGTGCCTTTTACCCAGCTCCCTCTACTGTAGCACATATTTGCCTTTTGAGTAATTTTCCCACAACTTTTTACTTTCAGTAACTTCAAACCTGCAGAAGAGTCAAAAAGAGTCAGAAAGAATAGCAGTCAACACTCACCTAAGCTTCACTCACATTCACCGACTGTTAATATTTTACATTTGTTTCATCTCTCTCTGTCTAGATATACCTGTAAGAAATACACACACACACACACACACACACACACACAACCATAACCCCAATTTCATACTTAAGGCATTTAATGTTGATACAATACCATCTCATATGCAGTCATACTCAAATTTCCCCAAAGGTCCCAATAATGTCCTTTACAGCTTTTTTTTTTTTAATCCAGGATTCTACAAGGGTCACATGTTGCTCTTGGTTACCATGTCTCCAATTTCTTAGCTGTTTTTACAACACCTTGTTCTCTATTTTCCACCTCTAGGTGGTATCAAATTTGTATTTCCTGTCCCTAGAGTCCCCAGTGCCACCTGCTCCCCACCCCCAAGCCCCTCCCACCAGGACCCAGATGCAGCCTGTAAACAGAGGAAATTCAGCTGAAGAGCAGATCTCAGTCACGGGCTTTCCCTTCCTTCCACACCATGACTTGGAGACCAGACACACCATGCCGGACCCAACCTCATCCTTCAGCCCAAAGAGGTGTAGGTATCATAACTCACTCACCCAAGGACAGCTTCAGCACCTGCTGAGCATTCCAAACATAAACAAGGGCTTGTTAGAATTCAAATAGCAAGAAAAGGCATCATTGAGGGAGAGGACCACAGAGATGGTCTATCCAACCTCTTGATTTTGCAGGTGAGGATTTCGCCTGAATCATGGGTCAGGTGTCTTTCAGGAATTGGGTATGTGGGTTTGTATTGGACTGGTCATGCCAATGGAATTGGTGCCTATGATCTTTTCAGGGGGCTTATGCTCTTGTATAAGCTCTACCCCTTCCAAAAAAAATTGTTTTTAGGAAGTAAAAAGTAGCTCATTGTTATAAAATGTATCAGAGGTAACATTGGATTCCAATACCTAAATCTGTCATCTCCCCATAGTTTCCCAGCCCACCCACAGCTCGTCAGCAGACGCACGGCTGAGTGGCAAAGCCACTTCCTTCCTCCTGGCCCAGCCAGAAATTTCAAGCCCCATTTGAGATGCAGCAGTGGGAAGTCTCTGGCAGGTACAGATGACACCATTGCAAGTGCCCGGGCTCTGTATGGGCTCTTCCTGGGAAGAAAACCCTTCCATCCTGTTGGGTAGGGAACTCTGCTGTGATCCTGCCTGCACTTCCGCACCCAGAGGACACTGTAACCCTTTGTTGGAGACAGAGACTGTGGCAACAAAAGGTAGAACTTGCCAACACCAGTCGCAACGGAGGAGGCTATGATCTTGGGGGATTTGTACCACCCCTCTCTGCCTTCCAGCACACAGACTTCCACGTTCCCCCTTGGATTTATAACAGCATATTAATTAACTCTATTTAAAAGGTGCCTGAACACACAGACTAAAGAGACCCACATCCATGTAAAACCAGTGCCAAAGCTTTTGTTTCCTATGAAAAGTACAAGCCTGGGCTCAATGGTACCTCCCCATCTTGCTATAAACTTTACCTGAACAAATGGGAGAGCTATTTGCAGACTCTCTGGGGGAACATATCCCAACTATAAATATTAATGATAACGAACCTGGAAATGCCAGCTTAATAAAATAGCTGAAAATGCCTTTATACCTCATTAGCGTTACAAGCCCCCAAATCTTCATCACGGAATAGCAGGACCATCCCAGGAGAGAATGGGCAAGAGCCTGTTCAAGGCTCCAGCAGGCACAGCCTCTCACAGTCCCTTTTACAGGGTACATTCTGGTTTTTTTAGTTAGATTACCTATCATCTTCCAAAGCAAAAATTACCGTGGACTAAGACTCGGATCAGTCTTTGACAAATTACAATGATCCCTAGTACGTCTCTGACATGGGGCAAAATATCCTTACTTTTCTGACATTAGAAAAGAATGCACCGCCCTTGAATAGGGAACTAGAGCATGTTTACGTGAAATGGCCACAGATATTCATTCAGTCAACCACTATTGGGTCTTATATTCTATTTCTTAAAAAAAAAAAAAAAACTAGAACACATTTGGAGCTATAACAGAGCTTTCAGAGTAGTAACATCTTCAATCAGGAGCCTTACAAATGATAAACTGGTATCTGAAGTTGTGGGAACCATGGGGGCTAAGAGTGCTCCCCTAACAGGAAATCAACTCTAGAAATGGAAACTCAGGCATCCGCGTGGCAGCTTGAAATATTCTTGGTGTCTTGAATATTTCAGGCTAGTAACACTTTTTTGTATATTCTTATGAAAACTTGATTAGAAGGTTGAGTTAGCCATGTACTCAGTCATTCCTTGAACACAGAGAAAAGAAGACTGAACTTCTTCCTTCCTCCTAGGTTCTTTCTCTAGGAAACGTCCACGCCTTTTTTCCCTTCACCATACATGACCTTGGGACTCACTCTCTAGATGTCGCCAACATTAAACATCCCTACTGCACACAAAAATGATTTTAAAATTCTCATTCTTTGGTCATCTTCACAGCATGAGGTGCAACATGGTGCAGGAGAGAGAGCCTGAGACCCTGACTCTACGATTTAGTGATCAGCAGCGTCCACATTTTTCTAGACCTCAGATTACTTGCCCACAGATGTGCCCACCTGCAGTGGCCAAACATTCTGAACTGTAGAGCATAGATGCCATTTGTTGTTGTTGTTGTTGTTGTTGTTGTTGTTAGCAATATTGGCAACATAAACCAAGTTTACCAGAATACGAGCCATTTAATATACCTCACTGTGGCTTCTTCTAATCTTTAACCTCATGCATAAATAGATTTCACGAGTTATAATCCTGTGGAGCACGCAATTTTCTCTCATTCCTTTATTTATCACTTAACAAGGAGTTCCATATTCCTACCTAGGGTTTCTCTTAAAATCTGTATGCAATTCCGTCAAGTTTCTCAGTGGCCCAGAGGAGGCCAGTGAGAGATGCTTCCCTGCTACCTAGATTTGGAAGACAGAGAGGAAGCCCCCGTGTGGCTAGACCGATGCACAGGTGTTGGGGTACCCCAATTTCCACAGGGGAGTAGCAGAGAGAGCCCGTTCTCAGGAGGAAGGAATACAGCTGCCAAGCTTTGTACCACGGAGCAAGGACACAGCATTCATTCCGTGGGTTCTCTGCCATGTTCCAGGTCCTCAGCTGTATTTTTACCCTCTGGTTTATGAAGCACCTCCAAAGCCCACTCGTAAGTTTTCCTCTTTTTTGTACGCTCTACTGGAGTGGGTTTCATCTGCTGCCTGGCACCAAAAAGTCCTTACCTAGCCATTGCACTATATTTGGGTCACCCCTGGCTGCTTTCATCAGAGCTGGTCCAGGAGCTGGCTCCCGAGGAAGTGTGTATTCATCAGAGGCCCTGAACAGATGGATTGTGACCACCCGCTCCCTTGCTTCAAAACGCACCCCATGGCTCTGGCTGGACAGGAGAAGAAGCCATTGCTGGGCTCTTGCGGAGCAGAGCTGTGGGTGGGAAACAGATACTGAGGCTTCCCTCTCACTGAGGCACGGGGTCTCTACTTCACTTCCACCTGCTGAGTGGCCTCTGCCTCTGACATTGTCTGGAAGGAGAAGTGGCCACCTGGATTCTGGGCAGGTGACTTCTCAAAGCATCACTCCACCTGGCCCCGGGCGTCTGGAGTGGCGGAGAGCCACAGGAGAGACAAAGGGATAAAGAAGTATGGCACAGACTCACCTGGCAGTCAACTCTCCCCTTGTGCCCAGAAGGCAGCGTGGCATCGAGGAAAGAACACTGCTTTGTAGCCAGACAGGTCTGTCTGTGACTCCCAGCCCTGCCGTCAATAATAATAATATTAATGATAATAATTTATTATGATTTTTGGAAGAAGAAGAGGAAGGAAAAGAGGGGAAGGAAGAGGAGGGGGGGAAGAAAAGAGAAAAGAGAATGAGCAGCAGGAGCTAACATTTGTTGATCACTTCCTATGTGACGGGCACGGTGGAGTTTCACAACAGACTCGTTTTGCGGACAAGAACACCAAGGCTAAGAGAAGTCTCGCAGCTTGCCCAAGGTCAATCAAGCTTTTTAAGTGTCAGAGGAGGCACCGGCAACCTCAACACTTGACTCAGGCACACACTCTTAACCACTCCCTTCCATCGCTGACTCACCAGACCTGTGACAAGGAAATTAAAATCGCC